TGAAATGGATGAATGATTTAGCTACAAAAACAATACAAGAACCTGAGTTACTTAAGAGGGTTTAGGTGTGAAATACTTGTTGTCTAAACAGGCAACCATGTACAGCAGTGCATACATGATGGTAATACAGCAGGCACATGGGGGATAGGTTCAAATGAAATCTCAAGTAAAAGGTTGTTCATTAACCAGCCTGTATGTACATTATCTACACTACATTACAAATACAAAGGCACGCACACATCAAGATGAATACAACATATTCTGTTTCTGTTTCTGTGTGTGTGCATAACTCAATCATGATGGTAATACAACAGTGCATACATGATGGTAATACAGTAGGCACATGGGGGATGGGTTCAAATGAAATCTCAAGTAAAGGGATGTTTGGTTGTTATTTTCTGCACAAATAAAGGGTTGTTTGGCACATATATTTGCATACACATATAGATTTGTAAAATTTTGGGTAAAAGGTGCACAAAATAGTTGAAACATCAAAACCTTATATGTACAAATACATATGCACACACACATCATGGTTGAATATATATATATATATATACACTATATATATACACACAGACACATGTAACAGGGCTGTTTGGTTGTTAATTTCTGGGCATTTAGGTTTTGGAGACAACCCTTTTGTGCCAATGGGTGTTTTTGGGTCCATGGTTCCTGTTCTTACTCCTGGATGGAGGCTTGGTTTCACACGTAGTCCAATATTAATTTTAACCCAATATACACTTGGTCTTTGCAAGGAAAAGTTCAAAAATTCATGGTAGGGAGATTTAAATTATTCTATTTAGCCCAGTTGCTTCATCACTGCTTTACCTTTAGCTAAGAACCAAAGTACTTGATCGAAAATTTTGATGGCTTTAATTATTGAAGTTTTCAAAATATGAATTGACTTGTTCTTGCCTCTTTATGCCTGCTATATATATATATATCTATACTATCTTATTAAGCAAATTCATCAAAAGTCTTAAAGTCTTAAAATTCTAAATGACCAAGATACCCTTTTTCACTTTTTTTACTTTTTCACCCATTCCTCTCCTCACATACATTTACCTCTCCCATTCAACGGATATTTTTAAAAATTATAATTTTGAATTTACATTTTATATCCCTATAATTAGTTAATTAATTACTTTACGTCTTTTATTTTTAAATTTTTCATTTTAAACATTTATCAAATTAACATACATAATCGTATATAAAATAAAACATGTTTAAAAAATACATTTTTATTTTAACAAGTTACACCATTATAATCGTCTCGTTAATACCTTCGAAATGAGTCCAAT